TAAAACAAAGCTTTTCTTGTTATTTTCTGGTTATTATTGGTTAGATGTTATTTTCTACACCTTTTCCTCGTGGTTTGGTGTATGAGCCTCATACCACTGTTTCAATTTTAGAAGGTCGACGTGCATCCCATGAATGAAAAGTTGAAATGTTTGTTGTAGTGAAGCTTTGTGTTTTTGCATATTATTTGCAGAGTAGTTTTCGGAATTTACTGTTTTAAAAACATTCGGCGTTTTTCGGAGAGAATTTGTCTGTGAATACCGAAGTCTCCGAAATTCGGTGTTTAATCTTGCATGTTTAGTTGTCGTGTGTGCTTTTATTATTCTTTTTTTTCAATAAAAATGCGTTGCGTTGTTGCCGGCAATCATCTTTTCCATCCTTACTTTTCTCTTCTTAACCCTTTTCTTTTTTGTTTTGCTCTTTATTATCCCGATGATAAGGCTACGCGACCTTAATGCAACACAACGTTGCTTGTTGGGCGAGTTGTACAGCTCTAAAATGCTGCGAACTCACCAAAGTGCACCTTCAGAGGGCACAAGTTCGGCGAGCTGCTTGTCCCCTCTCTCTCTTGAAGAAAAACTAAAGAACTAATAATATTATTGTTCACAATACTGCTGAATCTTAGATAAAGGTATATCTCAACTTGCAAACATGTAAGCATAATAAATGAAATTGGCTGTATCGACGGTTTGAATGCACAAACACATGCCCAAAAGCACAAATATTTCAATACAAAACACTTAATACAAGCTTGGGGCTTGTTTTAATCGACGCAAGCATACTTTTGGAGCTTGCTGCCACTGATGGATGATCGCTCGTGCACTTCAATCGACGAATCTCATCTTTGCAAATACTGTTTGGAGTTTGAAAATGCCTCGTTAAATCCGGAGTTTTTTGGATAAATCCAAATGGCAAAAATATTACTGGTGTTCATCGGATTTTTTCGGACAAATTCGAAAACACAGATCCCTAGTTATAGGTTAAAAGTGAAAATTGAATACCACCCGACATTGCTAAAATCATTTGTATGGTCCCCTTTCGCCCCGCCGCGGTGGTCTAGTGGCTAAGGTACTCTGCTGCTGACCCGCAGGTCGCGGGTTCGAATCCCGGCTGCAGCGGCTGCATTTTCGATGGAGGCGGAAATGTTGTAGGCCCGTGTGCTCAGATTTGGGTGCACGTTAAAGAACCCCAGGTAGTCTAAATTTCCGGAGACCTCCACTACGGCGTCTCTCATAATCATAGCGTGGTTTTGGGACGTTAAACCCGACAAATCAATGAAATAAATGGTCCCCTTTCATGCAGGAAAGCCAAGCGCCAATCTCAGAATAAATGAACGCAAAGCTATCTCGCCGTGTGATGCACCGTTACTTACGTGTGGACGTTTTTACAGGGAAAGCTGTCATGACGTCACAAAAAAGGTACCGTTTTTGAGTCCTTAGTTGTACGCGCCCGCCGTCACCACCATTGTCCGTAGCCGCTATCGAGCGAAATGAGAGAAAGAAAGAAATAAGAAAAATAATTGAAGTATGAGTTTCGAACCCTGGTCCTTTGCATGGAATCCCTGTATTGTATCACAGAGCTACGCAGGTTTTTTTTTGCTTGGATGGTATTTGTTATTATGCGTATTTGAAGTTATTTCCTTAGCTATGACGTAGTTCACTCAGCGGCAATAATCGCACAAGCACTACACAAGCATTCGAAGAATTACATACATATACTCTTAGAAAATCCAGAAAAATAGTAAAATTTATTCAAAAATTGTGGCACCGGGAGGTTGGTAAAAGTGAACACATCATCAAGATGGCCTGCCAGTCGGGTATCAAGTGAAGCTCTTCTTAGATGTCCTTTAGATGGACAGCCATACGCATGAAAAGGGTACATGAAGCAGCGGTTGGTTCTGCATTACGGTCACGCATGCGCGTTTTCCGCAGACTGTTTAGTCCCATAAGAAAGAACATGTCAAAGAGAGCTTCATCAAGACACGTTAGCTAAAGAAAGTTGTCTGAGGGTGGCAGGCAGAAGCAATTGATCAAATGAGAAGAAATAAAAGATGGCTTTCGCCTTTGATTTCTTAAATAAATGAATAAGGGACCCCATAAGTTCAATTTGTTTTGTGGTATATACTCTGTGAGTTTATGAGTAAGCTCATTTTGACACTCACTATAAAAATATAACGATATTATTAACTTCAACATTCGTCAGCGCTTTTTTGATAGTACACTACATGATAGATATAATGAAGGCAGCACTAGGCGTAGCGTCTTACTCAAATAAACAAGTATGAAGCTGAAGCAACCACATTGAATAGAACGAGCGCTACTTAACACTAGGACAACTAAAGAACACGCAAGGGTTTGTTTCTGCGTGTCATACATGATCGTCCATTTTTTTTTGAAGCCAGATTCATATGAACAATCTCCCATTAGGACCCTTTGAAAGCGGAAACAAGGCGTGTATCCCCTAGACGTTTTCTGTCGCTGGGAGGCGTGGGTGCGCATAACACGTTTTTTTCGTCAGCGCTGCTAGTTAGGGCGCACACGCAGCGAGGTGTTCAGAAGGCAGTGATCAAAAGACATACATCATCCTCCACTGCTGCAAGCAAAGGCGGCAGCGGCGGTTCTCGATACAGGTGTCGCATATTAAGACCGATCACCCGGCTATGGCAACGGTACAGTCTCGCTCCATTCATCCGTGAGCACTCGTCTTCCCTCAGAGGAGCTCTCCGTCACCGAAGTCACAGCGGCCGCCTCGCAGTTCATTAGTTCGCCGCTGATCGGCGCATCCCAACAACCAATAGAGGCATAGCAGGTGTCATTTTCTGCGGCGTGACTCGAAGTTAGCAGCCATCTCAGTGCGTGAACATATGTCACGATACAGAGGACAAGCATGGCCTCTGACTTGCCCGCCGTGTATGCCTTTACTTCCGGTGGCTGTACATTGTCGGCTTCAATATATACTACACGCTGATGAGGAGGCTTTACGAGTGTTTTTTTTTAATTTGCATCTTGCAGAGTGCTCTTCTGGTCCATCTATATAATTTGCGCATTCATTTGACTGTGACAGTGCGTATGCTAGCGCTGGCGTGGTTGCGTGCGTATGTGCGTGTGTGAGCGTGCGTGCGTGCGCGTCTGCGTAGTCACTATTGTTTTCGCTAAGCGGCGCTCCATGACTGACTTTCCCGTATTATTTTAAGCGCAACAGACCATCGCAGCTCAGCTGAAAAGATTCTGTAGTCGCCTGCACATAATAAATCAGCGCATTGCCATGTTCCCGTCATGCACTGTCTTTACAACAGAGGCAAGTGGTGGCCGTATGAGACAGGCAATTGGCGTATCATCAAGTCACCAAGCGTGGTGGCACTCAGAGAAGCGTGGCGCTTTTATATGCTGTTGATAGAATATTTCATTTATGGCTGTAGCAGGTGCAACTCTTCAGCATAAGTGACTTCTGTTTATGTGTCGTCTTTAACCGTAAAAGCAAGAAAAAAACGTTCAGGAGAATGCGGAGGCTTAAAGTGATGAAAAATTATAGAACAAGGTATGTGCGGCGTTCCCTCTTCAGCACTGAATGATCTGTGTCGCGTCGGCCTGGTAGAAATTGCCATTAGACGTTTTATGTCGTCACAGCACTCAAAATGGTGTTCTTTGGAGGGAGGCTTGGATGTACAAGTGCAATATTTTTGAGAGCGAACACAGGAACGCGTGGCTTTCTGTACTACTAGCGCCGTTAGACGACACGTCACAGTACCTTAGCGCATGCGCAAGGGGGGTAGCTTCAATTCGCGTGCATCACGTCACCGCAGTGCTCGTATGTCACCTGCTATAGCTGCTTTTCGGCCTCCAAGGTGATCTTGTTATGATCACAGCTAATATTTGCGCGCTTTCTGTTCAAGTGGCTTGTATTTTATTCCTGCTGTGTCCCTTGGTTATCGTCTCTTTTTTTTCTTTTTTTCACCTTCTTGTAGCCACACAACAAACAGGCAAAGGAACGCAAACACCAGAACTGTTATTTGGTACACATTTTACGCCAGACTTGTACGTTTAAGTAAGTTATATCAGTAATCTGGAATTGTTTTATTCAATCTTACACTAGTAATAAGTTGTGTCGTCTTTGAAAAACAAAACCACTGCTGCCATTCTGTAAGTTATTAAAATACTGACGAGTACTGCAGTGGCCTGAAGTTACGGTGCGCTCGAAGATTCCAAACTTTTGGCCAACCTTGAGATCATCCGCAGTCACTGATTTCAGCTGATTTCAGCTGACCATAGCTGATTTCATGTATATTCCTGAATATTTCACATGTTATCATGCTTGCTAGATCAGCACCGTGATCCGGTGATTTTCCATGCGCTCGTTCACTACTTTTATAGTGTGCTCTAGTGCCAGGTCTTGCTGGAACACAAAATGTGCATCGGAGAAAGCGCCCTATGAAAGATCAAGGAAGACCCAGAAAACGCCATCGAAACATGAGAGATTTTCCAGTTTATTTGCATATTGAGTGGAAAGTAATTGGATGGTATACGTTGTTGCCACTTTGAGGCACATGGCTTTCCTACTGCGGCATTTGTGGAGCCGACGACAAGCGCTATATATAGCTCGCCTGACACAATGCACGCGACGGCAAAATTGTCGCAGCCTGGCTGCCTGGCCGCGCTGCGTATGAGCGATACTTCTCGCTGCCGCCGCTCAACAGCGCTTGGAGCCCCGAAAGCCACGCGCAGCCATCTGCACTCTCAAAAAGATAGTCACTGTGCATACTTCGATGGGGCAGGCTTAACCGGCGTAGCAATCCGCGTTATGCTTGACAAAAGTGCAACCGTAAGGGCTTTTTTTTTTGTAGAGCTCTGGCCTTTACACCCCATAAAAGGAACACAAGGCATTTTGTGTCATTTTCCTACCATGGCAAGGGCACTTGTACAGAACACACTGCTGCTGTGTTCTGTGCTATCGTCATGGGAGTACACGCATAATTGTTCCTGATATTTGTGTCTCTCTTGTTCAGGTATCCTGGAGGACATTAGACAGCGTCGATATGTGCAAGAGGCCATCGCCTGCCTCTCCAACGCTCTCGCTGTGTCTGGTGCTGATGCGTCGCCCCTCCTTTACCTCTACGCGCTCCTGCGAGAGACAAACTTCAGCGTCGATCGTGCTTTTGCCCGGCTACTAGAAGGTACGTGAGTTTGTCTTCCTTTTTCTAGCTTCGATTTGTGTCCCTGCAATGCTTTCCGCGTCTTTTTTTCATAACTTTTTGTTTTAGTCCGTTTTCCCCTTCCTCTCTTCGGTTCTTTTTTTTTTTGAACCGCCGCTCCCCCACTTGATTTGTAGTGCGATCTCGAAAAAAAAAAAGAACAAGCGCGTCTGTGGCCTGAGATCAATAAGCACCGCCAAGTAGAGTCGCATTGTGGAACGCTTCCGCCTAGTGACAGTGTAGCCTCAATAATTTTACAACAGCAACTCATACGATTATTGCTAAAGTTCGAGTAATCATGTTACCTTCGCCAGCTAACAGATTTGTTTTGCTGTGCTTGGAGATAATGTGAGCCCAGCGTGAGCTAACGACTGTGCCCAGACAGCGGGTACGAAATGATTTTAAAAGGAAGAGAAAAAGAAGCTTGAGCGGTGCGGAGGGGGAGGGGGAAATACATGTGTGCTTCTGGTCACCATGGTCGTAAAAGAATAATGTTGTGCTATTTTCAAAATATAAGTTGAGACGTGCGCTGTGTGACTGGAATCACTGTTGCAAGCACCGATGGGTAGGCAGAGCTGAACAAAGAGTCGTGATCTTGATTGGAAGTAATGACTTTATGGGGTAACTGGCTTTGCATTATAAATTCGAATTTTGACGTCTCTATTCTGAAAGCTAGTGACAACAGGGACGTCGGGGAAAGGGCTGTGCATCTATGTCTCCTCCCGTTTTACTTTGCGTCGATACGTACATAACCGCTTACTGTCGACAGGTGAAGTGACTACGTGCCTACTCATGATCTTCTTATATTCTTAGTCATTTCACTGTGTCGTTACAAGAAAAAAGAAGAAAGAGAAAAGGTATGCAAAAGAAAAAAAAACACGGTGATCAAAACTTAGATCATATGGACCAGATTGCTCGTAGCTCGACCTGCTACTCTTCTTGCTAATCGTTGAAATTTCGATCCCGGACCGGCCATCCACGTCTTTTGTCATTTCGCAGTTCATGCAATAAGAAAGATGAACAAAATATGGCACAGGTATCCACTTTTATATTTTGCACACAAACACACGCAAGTGCTTTAAGCGTATCTGCCAAGGCTTCATGCTGCAAACTGAGCATGTATATATCGTACGCACGCTTCACTTCGCGCGTTGTATGGAAGCGGCGTACTTCGACTAAAAGCGTGGACCCTGGTCACTGCATACATTTGCAGACTCAACGTTTATTCGAATTGATGTCAGCAAAATGGAGAATACGTGGGGGTGCCTAAATGAGCTTGCACATTGTTGCCCCTAAATAGTTGATGAGAAGGATGCGGACCTTGTTGGCATGTTGCATGTAAAAATGTAAAATGTATAAGGAGGCATAATACTTTCCTTAGTTGGATATGTAGATTGACCGTCTCCACTAAACCATTTATTTACTGTGATCCAGTTTTGAAAAGGAGTTGGAGACTGCTTCCTGAGTGTAATTTAGATGGCTGAGCGTTGCAGACAACAGAGAAAAGTTCCCTTCTCCGAATTTGTAGGCGCCAAAAGAGGCTTCGGTGTCAATGCAGTCCAAAGTATAGTGTACTACGTTCCTCCTGAAATCGCCTGAGAAGACCCACACTGAAAGCATAATGAGTAACTTATACGAAGCGTCAGGTTCGCTGCGCCTTCGATAAAGATTTTTTAAAACGGATATGTAACTTATGAGAGCGTATACAGGGTGTTTCAAGAAATGTGTCCACTATTATTGGAAAATTACAGAAAGAAGATATCTGCGTGCTACCTGCGGTGGTCTCCGTTACTGTGACAGAATGAATCTTCAGATGAGTACAAACAATAATTATGACAACAAATATAGAAATTAACACCATCAATGTTTTAACCAGTGGAAATGAGCGGTTGAGTCAAATGGTTGAATTTAAGTCCTTCTGCCGAGTTGTCTATAGACGCTCTAAAACTTTCATCGCCCCGAGGTGTTTACCAGTGGCCACCTTTCAGAGAGAGAGAGAGAAAGAAAAGAGAGCAAAGGCAGGTAGACTAACCAAGCTTTTCTCTGCTGGTTACCTTAAACTAGGGGTGAGGTGAAAAAAGAAATTTCAAATTGGCTAAGTACCATTCGCAGGAAGACATTCACCAATTTGACTTGACCGCTTATTTTCAATGGTTATAAGGCCATGTTGTGGTGGTCAAGAGCCTAAGGTACTTGGTTGCTTTCCCTCAGCTCGCGGGATTGAATCCCGACTGCGGCGGCTGCATTTTCAATGGAGGCAAAACTGCTGTAGTCCCGTGTGCTCAGATTTGGGTGCACGTTAAAAAGCCAGAGGTGGCCGAAATTTTTTCTACGGCGTGTCTCATAATCATATGGAGATTTCGGGATGGTAAACCTGACATATCTTCATCATTAAATGGTTAAAAAGATAATTTTGTTAATGATGTATAATTTCTCACGTAAAAATTGTCACGGGCTGAGTAGGTACCCGAAAATGACGACGAGGAAGTGCTGAAGAGAACGTGCACGAACTGCAGCAGGGTTGTAGGTGTTTGCTCGAAAATAAATTCTTAAATGATTTCTTCTCTGTAACATCATTCGTGGAAGGTGCGGGGTACAGCTCGATATACAGCCTCAGGAGCCGGTTCTTTGCAACGGACGGCGTATAGCAGCTACCATGATGATTTAGCAGGCAACTCGATGTCAACAAGATCTGCCAGCCACGCAGCCGATCATTGTGGTGCAACCTCGTGTCCCAGGCCCGTTTAGCGGCACAAGTGGCTTGGGCGTCGATGACTGGCTGGTTCTGTATGAGCGCGTCAGCAGCAACCATTGGGATTCAATGCCTATGTTGGCGAACATCATCTTCAACTTGCAAGGCACAGCATAACTATAGTACGTGACGTATCAAGAGAAGTTAACCAGTCGGGACGTCTGTAAGAAGAAATTATGCTATTTATTTGGTAAACCCATTGGACGACAAATGGCCGGAAAAAAGAGTTTGCGACTCGTCCCCAAACTTTCATAGAGCCGTACGTTGCGTACATTCAAGACGTGTTTGCTTTGTGCTGCAAGCTCGAGAAGGACATGCTTAAGGAAGACAAAGTAGGACACACTCTGAGAGAAATCGCCGATGACGCCTTCAATTTCCTGCTGTGCAAAGACTGCTGGACGGTGTAGTCACTCATCAAAGCATGTCGTCGCTTTGAACAGCCGAAAAGTAGGCGCATCGTTCAATATTTTGACCGCCTTCCCAACACGGCGGATACGTCCTTCTGTGAAGATTTTCAAGATTCGCCCACACTAAATCAACCATCAGCGCCGGAAAACGTCCCCAGAATAGTCCGTTGGAAACTCGAGGCTGTGGAACGTGCTATGTCTAGCGTCAGTGCTCCAGGAAACAACCTCGCTGCTGTTTCTATGACACTGGCCATGGTTCGCCAAGAGATTGCGAATATAGGCATTTCGCCACCTCAACAATATGCCCCTGCTACTTCCCCTGCTACTGCCACTCCAAACCGCATCTTCGCGCCACGACAAAATCCAGCCGAATGGCGCACTGATGAGGATCGGCCCATATGCATTTTGTGCCATCAAATAGGACACATCGCTCGCCAATGCCGCAGCCGGCAACCTCATCACCTCGACTAATTTTTTATGATAAAAGACCCCACTCCGAATGTGCGCCCTATTCCCCGTCCTACCATGCTGAGATAAGTGCGGAGCATATTCCAGAATGTTGGACCAGCCGCTCATCATTTGCCCCGGCGTCGTCAGTACCACTCGCCCCAATCTCGGTGCTCTTGGTCTCCCTCCGACCGTCACTCGTAAAACTAGCCAGTGCAGATCCCAGAGTTGACGCTGCCTACACGACTTGCACTGCAAAGCCTCTGATTGCTCCCGACAATGGTCCAACCTTCTTACTATTCTCGTCGATGATTTACCTGGAACTGCTCTTATTGATACCGGTGCAAAAATATCTGTGATGAACTCAGACCTCCACCACCGCCTCCAAAAAGTTCTGACGCCTGCGATTGCGCCTACCATTCGTACAGCTGACGGAAGTACTCCTTCTGTGCTTGGAATGTGCACTGCAGGATTGACAATTTCTGAGCACCAAACTTCAGTTCTGGTTTCTGTACTGAAAAATTGCCCTCATGACCTTACCCTTCGACTTGACTTTTTGACCTTGCACGCTGCGCTCATTGACTGTTCTGAAGGTCGTCTTCAGCTCGAACTCCCATCCTTCTCGGAGACCGTCTCTACTAGCCCACCTCGTCTACGCTCTGTTGATTTACTCCGACTTCCGCCGCAAGCCGCAGTCCGAGTCCAGCTCTCGTCATCCCCTCCAGTAGCCGATGGTGATTATGTTGCTGCCCTAATTTCTGACGTACACAAAACACGTAATGTCGTGCTCTCCAACATGGATGTTACCGTTAAGGACAATCGAACTTCTTTTTCCATCCTCAATTTCGGCTTCTCGGCGCAAGTTATTTCTCGCGGCATGCCACTTGCGCGTCTGACACCACTGGTCGACCACACAGTTTCCGCCCTAACCACTGATTTGTCACCTAATTTTTCATCAACGTCGCTCTCGTCACGTTCCTGTTCCGACCTTTTCATGACAATGATGTCCGACAAGCTCCCCTCTGAATAAGTATTTGCTCTCCACCACGTCCTCGCTTTTTATCAGGACATCTTTGACTTCGACGACCGTAGTTTGGGCCAAAAATTCATGGTAAGACAGCGCATCGATACCGGTGACGCTCGACCCATTCGCCGACGGTCCTACTGCGTTTCAGCCTCTGAGCGTGCCAATATACAGCGGGAATATGATGAATTGCTTCATAAGGGCATAATTGAACCCTTATATAGTACCTTGTTCACACCCGTTGTATTTGTTAAAAAGAAAGACAATAGCCGCGGATTTTGTGTTGACTACCACCATCTCAACCGTATTACCAAGAAAGAAGTGTATCCTCTACCGCTCATAGATGGTACAC